TTTTGGGGGGAATTTGGGGTGTGGGGATGGGGTCTGAGCCTGAGATCGCTGCTGGTGAGATGGAATTCCCAAAATTCCATGGAAAAATGGGATTTCTGGGAAAAAAATGGGTTTTTTGGGTGAAAAAATGGGGTTTTTGGGTGAAAAAATGGGATTTTTAAGGGGAATTTGGGATGTGGGAATGGGGTCTGAGCCTCAGCTCCCTCCTGGTGCGCTCCGTGGCCACGGGTGAGACACGGAATTCCCAAAAATTCCATGGAAAAATGGGATTTCTGGGAAAAAAACGGGATTTCTGAAAAAAAAATGGGATTTTTGGGTGAAAAAATGGGATTTTTGGGTGAAAAAATGGGGGTTTTAGGTCAAAAAATGGGATTTTTAGGGGGAATTTGGGGTGTGGGGATGGGATCTGAGCCTCAGCTCCCTCCTGGTGAGACAGAATTCCCAAAATTCCATGGAAAAATGGGATTTCTGGGAAAAAAAACGGGATTTCTGGAAAAAAAACGGGATTTTTGGGTGAAAAAATGGGATTTTTTGGGGAAAAAAAAGGGATTTTTGGGGGGAATTTGGGGTGTGGGGATGGGGTCTGAGCCTGAGATCGCTGCTGGTGAGATGGAATTCCTAAAAATTCCATGGAAAAATGGGATTTCTGGAAAAAAAACGGGATTTTTGGGTGAAAAAATGGGATTTTTTTTGGGAAAAAATGGGATTTTTAAGGGGAATTTGGGGTGTGGGGATGGGGTCTGAGCCTCAGCTCCCTCCTGGTGCGCTCCGTGGCCACGGGTGAGGCAGGATTCCCAGAAATTCCATGGAAAAATGGGATTTCTGGGAAAAAAACGGGATTTTTGGGTGAAAAAATGGGGGTTTTAGGTCAAAAAATGGGATTTTTAGGGGGAATTTGGGGTGTGGGGATGGGATCTGAGCCTCAGCTCCCTCCTGGTGAGACAGAATTCCCAAAATTCCATGGAAAAATGGGATTTCTGGGAAAAAAAACGGGATTTCTGGAAAAAAAACGGGATTTTTGGGTGAAAAAATGGGATTTTTTGGTGAAAAAATGGGATTTTTGGGGGGAATTTGGGGTGTGGGGATGGGGTCTGAGCCTCAGCTCCCTCCTGGTGAGATGGAATTCCCAAAATTCCATGGAAAAATGGGATTTCTGGGAAAAAAATGGGTTTTTTGGGTGAAAAAATGGGGTTTTTGGGTGAAAAAATGGGATTTTTAAGGGGAATTTGGGATGTGGGAATGGGGTCTGAGCCTCAGCTCCCTCCTGGTGCGCTCCGTGGCCACGGGTGAGACACGGAATTCCCAAAAATTCCATGGAAAAATGGGATTTCTGGGAAAAAAACGGGATTTCTGAAAAAAAAATGGGATTTTTGGGTGAAAAAATGGGATTTTTGGGTGAAAAAATGGGGGTTTTAGGTCAAAAAATGGGATTTTTAGGGGGAATTTGGGGTGTGGGGATGGGATCTGAGCCTCAGCTCCCTCCTGGTGAGACAGAATTCCCAAAATTCCATGGAAAAATGGGATTTCTGGGAAAAAAAACGGGATTTCTGGAAAAAAAACGGGATTTTTGGGTGAAAAAATGGGATTTTTTGGGGAAAAAAAAGGGATTTTTGGGGGGAATTTGGGGTGTGGGGATGGGGTCTGAGCCTGAGATCGCTGCTGGTGAGATGGAATTCCTAAAAATTCCATGGAAAAATGGGATTTCTGGAAAAAAAACGGGATTTCGGGGTGAAAAAATGGGGGTTTTAGGTCAAAAAATGGGATTTTGGGTCAAAAAATTTGGGGTGAGACACAGAATTCCGGGAATTCCGGGGTTTTCCATGGAAAAAAATGGGATTTCTGGGGAAAAAAATCTGATTTTTGGGGTAAAAATTTGATTTTTGGGGGGTAAAAATGGGGATTTTTGTGGAAAAGCGGGATGGGTTCGGGAATGGGGCTTGGGCTGAGCTGGGGAAATCCGGGAATTTTGGGAATTCCGGGAATTTCCCCCCCAGACAAGCGAGCCCTGTTCATCATCTGCACCTCGGAGCTGGGACCCCAAATCTACGAGCTGGTGGCGCTGACGAACTCGGAGAGGAACAC